TGGCAATACAGTATTGGCTTTTTCTTCAATTATTTCCTTTAGTCAGCACTTCCCTGTAAAATACTAAATGACCAGTCACTGTTTTATTGATGAGTGCATCTGGTATTGACATACATTGTATTTATAATGGCTTGTTTTTAAATGTTTAATTAATTAAGTCCCAATTTCCCTAACCATATTATTTATGAATGTCAAATAGTTTTAAAATCATTCGTCCCAATCTTTCATCTAAGATTACATTATGTGAAAATTAATCTTCTCAAATTAACTGGATTATTATGGATCAGCCTGACTGTATTCATGTAACACTGTATACAATGCAGAATTTAAGGTTTATGACTGTTCTACCAAAAGTCAAACAACCAAAATACCAGTCTCTGTTAGCATTACTTATTAACTTGGTAATGGGCCACTTTTTTTATCTTTAAAAAAAACCCACATTACACAAAAGTGTGAAGAGCTGCAGTTCTCTAACTCTGTGAGTTACTGCTGTTGAAATGAATATGTTCCTCTCAGAAATCCTTGATATTTTAAAAGTGGACTCTTAAAAAATGATAGTGCCCCTTGACTTGTGATAGACCATATGATCAAGCATATGGTCTATCATCACAAGAGAGAAAGACACAGTACAGTGTATTCTTTTGTTCCCTTCCATTAGCAGCCTTCCAACTTCGTGACCCTAACCAAAGCACTGCATGGTTACATACACAGTAAGAGAATATTTTCCTGAGGATATCCCAGTACTGCAGAACTGACATAATGGGTACTTGTCATGATTTCTGACAATAAAGTCTGGTGATAACAAGCTTTAGGAAATGATACAAGTATTAAAGGTATGGATGGTGACCTATGTGCCACAGACCCAGAAGATATTTTTGGGGGGGGCGGGGGGGGAGTAGAGAAGCAGGGTTTTCTGTATTTTCTTTTATTATGGCTCTGGATTCTAAATTCTTCCTGATAAGGGAATTTCATAACCTATCTTCCAGGACTCTTCAGGTGAATTCTGTACAAACAAAAAGCAAACAGACCAAAACATCTGGTAGCCCTTGTCACATAAAAAAGGGTGGGGTGGGGGCTGATAGAATGCCACAGTAGAAATCTCTCAAAACAGAGTACAGTACAGTCAATTTGTAATGCTTAGAAGAAGTCTGGCATACTATATCTGAATTAATAGATTCCTCAACTTTTCAAGTGCAGATTCATGTCAGGACGGAGAACCTCTAGCCCTCCAAATATTTCTGTCTGCCACTCCCTGGAGGAAGGCACTGCGGTTGTAGCCCAAATCATCTGGAAAGCCAAAGGTTCCCCTCTTCTGTTGAAGAAAATGGGATGGTGTGACAACGCTCACTCGAAAACAGATAAAAATGGTCCTTTCTTTGCAAGTCACCTTACATCAGGACTGGGAAACCTGGGGCTCTCTGGATCTCCTCCTCAGACCTAGGCAGTGGAAGGACAGCAATCTATCAACATCTGGAATTCTAAGGATTCCTTTCACACCAAGATCAGGCATTATGCGACCCACAAGTTACATGCCGTCCCAAAACCATTTCTACAGCCACCCCAAGCCCAATTTGTGATTGCTTTCAAAAACCTGCTAAAAAAACATGCAGAGCAGATTTCCAGCCACTTTCTAGACTTTGCAGTGGCTCTTCAATGTTTACATCACTTTATTTTAACCATCAAATGGTGAAGTATCGCTTATCACTTTTCTTTAAAAAAAAAAACTTTTTGGCCAAAATAGCTTTAATTAGGCAAGGAAGTTTCAACTGAAGTTGTTTATTCCCATGTCAGTTTGCAACTGTTTATTATTTCCTATTGCGTGTGGTTAGGGATTGTTTAGGAATCAGAGAATGAAAATTCTGTGGTTCTATAATGCCGAAACACACCTGAGAATCACAGCCCTGTAAAAGACCCACTTCTTTCCCTCCCTCTCTGCCCCCCCGGGATTAGTTACAATCCATTTGTTTTGTGTCCCACCCCGACTTGAGAATGATATTCTGTTTCTTTCTTGAAAATGTGTACCTCACCTTTCTTCCATGGAGGATAGTGTAAGTAATTCTTTCCCCATTTTTCCCCACCAGTACAACAAGGCAGGTAAGACTGAGAGACTGTCAGTCAGGAAGCTCCATGACTGAGCAGAGATGTGAACCTAAGTCTCCTCAGTTTTACCAACTTTAAAGGTAAAGGTAAAGGTTCCCCTTGACAATTTTTGTCCAGTCATTGAAGTATCGCTTATCACTTTTCTTTAAAAAAAAAAACTTTTTGGCCAAAATAGCTTTAATTAGGCAAGGAAGTTTCAACTGAAGTTGTTTATTCCCATGTCAGTTTGCAACTGTTTATTATTTCCTATTGCGTGTGGTTAGGGATTGTTTAGGAATCAGAGAATGACAATTCTGTGGTTCTATGATGCCGAAACACACCTGAGAATCACAGCCCTGCAAAAGACCCACTTCTTTCCTTCCCTCTCTGCCCCCCCACCGGGATTAGTTACAATCCATTTGTTTTGTGTCCCACCCCGACTTGAGAATGATATTCTGTTTCTTTCTTGAAAATGTGTACCTCACCTTTCTTCCATGGAGGATAGTGTAAGTAATTCTTTCCCCATTTTTCCCCACCAGTACAACAAGGCAGGTAAGACTGAGAGACTGTCAGTCAGGAAGCTCCATGACTGAGCAGAGATGTGAACCTAAGTCTCCTCAGTTTTACCAACATTAAAGGTAAAGGTAAAGGTTCCCCTTGACAATTTTTGTCCAGTCATGTTCGATTCTAGGGGGCGGTGCTCATCCCCGTTTCCAAGCCATAGAGCCAGCGTTTGCCCAAAGACAATCTTCCGTGGTCATATGGCCAGTGCGACTTAGACACGGAACGCTGTTACCTTCCCACTAAGGTGGTCCCTATTTATCTACTTGCATTTCTATGCTTTCCAACTGCTAGGTTGGTGGGAGCTGGGACAAGCGATGGGCGCTCACTCCGTCGCCTGGATTCGGTCTTACGACTGCTTGGTCTTCTGACCCTGCAGCACAGGCTTTTGCGGTTTAGCCCACAGCGCCACCACGTCCCTTTTTATCAACATATCTTAAAATTAAAAATTCACAATAGTGTTCATTATAACTTTATTTTTTGGTGGTGACAAGATAGAAATGGAGCATGTCAACCATCCCAGCTACTGAGTCACATGGTCTGGAACAAATGAGAACCACATCACACTTTTAGGAGACAGTTGAGTTCTACCAGTGTTTCCTGCAGAAACCAATGTACTGTGATGGACAGACCTTTGTCTAACCTCAGCTTCCTGGCTTGTGTATCTACCTTTCACACTATACCAGTTAATTCTAGGAAATGCTGGTGGAACTCAGCTACTACCTAACAACTCTTCGTTTATCTAACACAGCAGTGAGAAACCGCCTGATTGCAGCTCCCACCCACCTAACGACTGGCTACTTGTCCACAATGATCTAAAGGAAATACTCCCCAAACTGTAGATTGTGAGGGAGGAGAACTGCTGGTCTGCCGCAAGAGGCCAGGTCATTAATTAACAACGGCTCCTGTGAGCTCAAAGCAGACATTCATAGAAGAGGCTGGACACCTTGCCTCAGAAGCTGTTCCTGGGCCACCTCTTCCCTATCAGGGCAGATGCTGTGACATGACCAAGAAGTTGGTTTCTTCAAGAGCAGCTACTTCTTGCAGTCCATTGGATGCTGTCTCCCCACAGCTCTATTCAACATGGGCGAGATGTGGCAGGATGTATGGAGGGCCACAAGTTTCCTGAAGGTGGCAGTAAGAAAGCCCTGTTGGCGTAAAACCGAAAGTGTGCCTCATATTTCAGGCTGTGGGAAACACGGGCCACAGCTACTAAACACTTGGAAGTACTGGTCTAAAGAGAAACTCTTCCTGTCATCTCCTAGTGATGAAGAATTAAGACTGCTGCCCTAAACATACATAGCTGGGAGTAAGATCCATCTAACTCATTATAACTTGCTTCTGAATACAGAAAAGATCCCACAGCACATCATGAAAACATGGAACTAGATCACTGGGCCTTCCAGTTCTTTTGGATTATAGCTTGCACAGCCACTTACCATTGGCTATGATGGGTGGGACTGATGCGGCTTAAGTATATGGAAGGCAAAAGATTCCTACCCTGGTCTAAGTTTGCCACAAATAGCAAGAGTGAAGCCTTTAATGTACATGAATTATCTGGATTGACACTCTACAGGTGGTGCGGGTGGGTGGTATAAGGATGTACCAGCCCCCACCACAAAGGTGTTGAAAACGTTTGCAGGAATATTACAGGAATGGGCTACCATTTCAAGGATGTTTATGAATTTTTTTATTAAAATTGTTATATTTTCCTCTCCTGGACTGTAATAAGTGTACATAGCAGGGGAGGAAACTGGGTCATCTGTGGGCCACACACAACTTGCCAAGGTACCTGATGCTCCCCTCCAATGCTGATTCTTTTTTCTGCTAAAATTGATAACCTCACCTCCAGGAATCCTATCTGGGAGACTGAGTGCACTTTTTAAGGACCCCAAATAATTCCTGCTCCTCCCCTCTTCCCAACTAGTCACTTCTGGGCAAGTGTGGCCCTTGGAAATCAGTGCAGTGGTGGTGGTAGAAACTGGCTGCAGTTGTCCATCTTGGTATAAAAGTCACTGCCCTATTCCAGCCACAGTGTATCCAGACAAACTCCTGTATAGTATGGGTCAGCCCATCACCAAGAGTAACTAGAATGGCCATCAATGCTGAGCCCTACCCTGAGTGCAGCTATTAGCACCTGCCAGCAGTTGACAGAGAAATGATGATCCTGTAGCATTCATTGTTCTGCTAGAAGAAGCAGATGTGCCTTCACTCAAAGACAGGAAAGCTATCGTTTTGGACTGGACTCATACAATTCCCAGAATATCCTAGGCAGCAACATGTAATTTTCCTCATCCCTGGCAGAAAATAGTATATTTTAAATAAAACACGGATTTATTATTTTTTAAAGATAGACTTACCAGCTCTAAAAATCCTCGCACCACCTGTCTCTGCTTCAGGTTGGTCTCCCCATCCAGATTAGCAGTCTCTATGTGACACAGGCCATCTGGGTCACTTGAAGAAAGCACCAATATATCAGCAGGTATGATTTCATTGCAACGCAGCTGAATGAAGTCCCCAACTTTTACTTCTTTCCAGAATCTTGTTGTGTATTTTCTTTCATCCCTTGTAAAAGAAATCATAAAGAGGATATGATTATAAACAGTTCTGAACAGAACAAGGCGAATCAATGAAACTTCTGAGATTGATTGATTCTTTAAACATGCTATGTAGTAGGCCACCTTCTGTATTGCATTAGGCTTGTGGCAATAAAGCTGTTGACACCCAAATGGATTCTGGAATTGTCAAATGCTGAAGGATCAAAGCTGTCAGCAGCAAACTGTTTGCAATCCAGTTTCTAGGGAAAATGGCTCAAAACTCTGTACAGACTTGGAGGAAGTAGAACTGAATGGGGAGAGAAGAATCAAATTCTGAGTTAGGGCTGGATTCTAGAAAGAAGGAAGCCTGCAGAGCATAATGCCAAAAACCAGGACGGGCGAAGGGAACATGTAGTGCACCCAGCAGAACAAGAGAAGGGGAGAAGAGACAAAAACAAAACAAAACAGAGAAATGAGATTGGTGGCAGAGGACTAGGTAGTTCAATTCATAACTGTGTGGGGCAAACCATCTCTGCGCCGTGTGAAGAGGAGGTCGACTTCCCGAATTGATTTATATGTACATATTTATGTGCAAGTACACAGGAGAGACAGATTTATTGAAGAGACTCAAGGGACTGAGAAATATGTCCTTAGCAGAGTGCCTTGAATGCATTTCTCAATCGGCAGTGGGAAAATATGTTCAATGAGCTTTGTATATTCAACTGCTTCATACGAGTGCAGAAAAAGCAAGGAATGTAATCCTGGCCAAAAGATTCTGCTTCCTGAGAAGCTCTGCTTTTATTTAAGAGGAAAAAGGGAAGAATAAGAAAAAGAAACCAGGAGTGGAAAAGAAAAGAAAAAGGGGGAAAAAGAGAAGAAAAGTGTCTTAATGGTTATTGTAGAGACAGGCTTGAGTGTATTCCACAACCTGCAACCATCCAGGTATATTGGATCACATCACCCATCATCCCCAGCCAGCACAGCCGTAAGTCATATGATCTGGTAATCATGGGAGCTGCGATCCCAAAATCTGCAAGGTACAGTATCTGGTTATAAAAAGCTGGCCAAAATAGCACTCAATGAATCTCAGAAATATTCGTGAAGGCGAATCTCAGAAACCTCAGAAATTGCTAGCCCCACTTAGATTTCTTAATTTAGGTTTTTAAAAGTGGGGGTGTCTTATACACAGAAAAATACGGCAACTGTTGTTGATTTATATATAAAAGGGAAATATCCCACATCAAAGTGCTGAATTATAACACATTGTTTTATCACTTGTGCCATGAATGGAGATGATGGGTTTTTAACCATACTACAGGTATTAAGTAACTTACAACTACCAGGGTGTTTGACAATATCATTTTGTGAATGGACAGTATTTTTTACATTTCTAAAACAACTATCTTTATTCCTTCCATTTCAATCTGAAATGAATGCACTGCTTACATTTCTCCCATTTCAAGCCAGGTATGAGTATGTGGGTGTGCCAACTCAAAGAAGAGATTTATTCCATGAATCTCAAGACCTGGGCTCCAGTCCTTGAACAATTAAAATATATTTGCTAGCCTTTAGTCCCTGAACTAGGAGAAAGACAGCATAAAATGGCATAAATAAATACATAAATTTAAAGTTCTGTAAGTTACATTGGTGAGTTGTTGATTTTTTGTAACAGGCAAATGCGATTATGTTGGTGTACACAATTACTAAAAAGACCTCCATCCTTCATAATAATCTTGTGCAATTCTGACTTATGGCAACCCTTTCCAGGGTTTTCCAGGTAGAGAATAATCAGAAGTGCTTAAGAATTGCCACCAGTCAACCATTCCCATGACTGATACATGATAGAGTCTAAATACGGACCCATGGTTCCTTAGGCCATTTGGCTTATAGCACATTCCAAACATGGTCAACTTGGACAGGTAAAACTGGAAACATTTAGATCGAAATAGTAACAAAAATAATGGCATGAATTTTCATCCACATAAAACAAGGAACGTTACATGCTTAACATTCTTATGAAATAACTAAGAAAATCAGTGGGGGAAAGGTTATACCATAAAATAATACCTCAACAACTATGGATTGATATTATTCCTTATAAGGAAAACTATGAACAGATGTGAATGAGAAATGGAGACAATGAAGCCAAAAATATACCGTCAGAAATGTACTTGAGTATAAATCAGAAAGCCAAAGTAACTGGACATTCTGCTAAAAATGCAAACAGAGATCTAGTGCAGGGGAAACAATATTGTTTTTATGTTCTCTTTGCATCAGCTAAGTAATTCATCACTCCTGTACTGATTTTCCACAGTCTGTATTTTAAGATAGTGCAAGCACCATCCCATATCATTTTGCTTCCTGAACTTTGAATGCCAAGGTCACACATCTTTTCCTGGATTGAAACATGGAGCACAATCTTGGGTTTCCAAAAATATGTTTGCAAGTGTACAACTGCTCTAATATCTGGAGTTGGCCAAATTCATTTCTTTGCGGGAATTTTGGACTTGGGGAGAGAAAGAGGAAGGTATGCTTTGGATCTATGCCTCTCTTTCATGCCTTCTGCACCATGGCCAAGATTTTCAAAGTCAGGGTGTGTACCCTTGAGTATCTGTTGAAAGACAATGACAGGAATGTTACAAAAGGGTGGCAGAATCCTCATCAGAAAGGAAGGGGAAATGTGTATCATTGCTGTATGGTGGCCAAGTAGGGCTTAGCAAGAACACTGATGATTATCAGGCAATATGACTTATGCCAAAATCAGTCCACATTTCAGGACCAGTTGCTGGCAAAGAAAAGCAGGAAGATGATACTGCGTATGAGTCTCGAAGCAGGGCATGTGCTTATGAGCATAATTCCACAGGCATCTGGTTGGTCATTTTGAGGAAAAAATGCTGGACTAGATTGACCTTTGATCTGATTTTCCAAACTATGCATTGCAGGGAAAAAGAGACCTTTTTCCATTCAACAGACAGTGCGATTCTCAAGATAAATCCTGCCATGAAATCCTAATTGCTGATATTTACCCTCTAGCACAGAGGGAGGAGAGAGACCCAGTCATCGTTTTGGAAAGTTGCTTTTTATGAACATCAGTTTCCCAAATTCTCTAGCCATAATAATCAAATGCAGTGTAGATTAACTCTAAAGCTGACACTGGCAGCACCTCTTAGTAAATAGGTGGACCTCATCCAGCAGCTTCAGTGCTTGGAACTATTTAAAATTTCTTCTTCTGTTCTTGCATTCCTTTAATATAAAGTAGAATAGTATGCATTTAAGAAACGAAGTCTTAATTTTTTCAGATTACAGTATTCAATAAAAAAATGCAGAACAGTTTTTAAAAAGAGCATTGTAAAAGAAGCGCTAGATCATACTTTCTCAAATATCTGGAACAATTGGGTTCAGAGCAGGGATGAAGCTAACCAGCAAAAGGGCTATTCAGACTTTGGTCGTCAGCTTTAATACCTTGCCTAAGAGCTTCCAAACCACATGTGGCTGAGCAATGAAGGAAAGAGAATGCTGCTGGGCAAGATGAAGCTTTGCTCTGGTCTACTAGGGCTCTTTTTATGTTCGTACAACTCAAATGTGGACAGCTTTGACTTGTAAAGGTAGAGGTTAATGCAACACATTGGCAACATTCACACATATTTTTAAACAAATGTGATACAGTGGACCCTCTACTTAAGGAATTAATCCATATTGGAATGGTGGCTGCAAGTCGAAAAGTCTGTAAGTCGAATCTCAATTGACCTACAATGCACTGAAAACCTATTAATCCCATAACCAGTGGTTTTTATTCTATTTTTATTCCATTTTGGTTTTTTTCTGGTCTGTAAGTCGATTCTCTGGCTGCAAGTTGAATCTAAATTTTGCAGCCAGAGAAGTCTGTAAATTGAGCCGTCTGTAAGTTGAGCCGTCTGTAAGTCGAGGGTCCACTGTAGCTGAAGGGGAGGATGGAATGGTTAGAGCCATTATAGCATAGAGTAGTATTTTCCCCATCATCCGGGCTCTACACACTACTTCAGAGCTTGGTGAAGTTACTATAGTTTCCACAAGCCTCCACCAGCTTAAGTCAGTTTCCCCAATCACATGCGTAGAAATCCCACGGAGAACCGAATTACAACCAATCACTTGGATAGGTAACCTACTGTGGCGGGAAAAACCCAAAGGAACTACTGTCCGGATGATCCTCTGAATCTCTCTGGTGGCTTTTGACTCCATCATCTGTGGTATCTTGCTGAATATGCCATCTATGAGACAGGACCAAGACCTGTGATATTACAGCAAATCTGTTCCTACCTGCTGAGCTACCTACATAGACATCTAACTCAGCCCCTTGTCTTTTAAGCGGAAGGATGCCACAGGGTTCCATTCTATCTCTCATGCTCTTTAATATCTTTATGAAGCTGAGGCCATCAGGATTTGGCTACCATCCATGTGCTGATGAAACCCAACTCCATTTCCCCAGTCATCACAGCAACCATGCACCTGCGTGGTGTATAATGTACTGGATTAGGGCCTATAAACTAAAGCTAAATTCCAGTAAGACAGAGGTTCCCACATGGCGTACTTGGTATCTTTTGGTCAGTAATTTTCTGCCAAACTTATCTTACAGGGTCATTTTCAGAATAAAATGGGGAAAGAGGAATCACGCAAATCAGCCACAGGCACTGCTGGTACTTACAAATAATGTTCATTTTTTTAACATGCACTGGCCCTTTTGTTATATTCTCATGTAATGGATGTGATTTTCTGCCATCATTCTGCTATAACCCCTCACAGATCCCTAGTACCACCACAGAATCCCCACAGGTAATGCACAGTCACTCGATTCACCAAGGTACTTATACGGGTGGGGAGGGGCATATTCTAATGTGTTCACTGCTACCACAGAAGCTCTAGAATCTTCCAATGAGGCTCCGCGCAGGTGCAAACCACCCAGGGTGTGATTCACAGAGGCCACAAAGAACTCTAGATCCTTTTCACATATATTACAGTGGTGCCTCGCAAGACAGGTGTTCTGTCACTCGA